GAGAGTTGTAAAGGAGGATATGAGTACATCCTAGTCGTGATGGATCATTTCACCCGGTTTGCACAGGCATATGCATGCACCAACAAGTCAGCAAGAACAGCGGCAGAAAAGATCTTTGGAGATTTTGTGCTCAAATTTGGATTCCCTGCCCAGTTACACCATGATCAGGGAAGGGAGTTTGAGAACCAGCTGTTTGCCACCCTGGAAAAGTACTGTGGAATCCAGGGGTCACGCACAACACCTTACCATGCAGCGGGGAACGGCCAGGTGGAGAGATTTAATCGGACACTCCTTTCCATGTTGAGGAGCCTGACAGAGGAAGCCAAGGCGGACTGGAAAAACTCCTTGAGCAAAGTGGTGCATGCGTATAACTGCACACGCAGTGAAGCAACAGGATATGCCCCATATTATCTTCTCTATGGCAGAAACCCCCGCCTACCAGTGGACATCATGTTTGGCCTGGTTCCAGGTGACCAGAGTACTTCTCACAGTGATTACGTCCGTAAGTGGAGAAGTAGGATGCAAGAGGCATACAGACTGGCATCAGAAACAGCCCAGAAAGAGAGGAACAGAGCGAAAAAGCAGTATGATCGGAAGGCTCATGGAGTGGAACTGCAACCGGGATGTCGGGTGCTAGTACGGAACTTCAGAGATCGGGGTGGGCCCGGAAAGCTAAGGTCTTACTGGGAGGAGCGAGTACATGTCGTGTTAGAAAGAAAGCACAAAGATAGCCCTGTCTATGCCGTACAGCCAGAGAGAGGACCAGGGAAAGTGAGAGTTCTGCACAGGAACCTCCTACTGCCCTGTGACTTTCTCCTCGTCCAGGAGGAGAAGCTGGAGAAAAACAAGAATGGGAAGGAGGATGCCAAACAACAAAGAAAAGGAAAGACCCAAGAAAAGCAGCAGGAGAGTGACCACGACAGCGGTTCAGAGGATGAGGGTGACTGGGGAATTATCACCACACAAGCTGCGGAATCACCCACCCAGATCAGGAGTCAGCTGAG